TATTTTATAGATAAAGAAATGAAACCTTGAGAGGGAAAGTGCCTGCCTGGGCTGTGGAGATGGAAAGTGATACAGCTTGATTTTTAATCCAATTTTATCGGACTCCAAAGCTTGGCCTTTAACCTATAAGCAAGTGTTTCTCAGAGCACTGGGAATTTATGGATTATCTCCAAAAGAACTATTGGGGACATTGTTAGAAATGCATATTTCTAGGAAAGTTAAGACATTCTTCAAGGAACAGTGTAGAGTGATTTTTTAAGCTATAACAAGAGAAACTTAAAAGAAGTACTACACAGGTTGCCATTAAGAACAATAATTGAAAATCAAATTTTGGTGATTTCTTACTTTTTTTTTTTTTGTAGTTCTGTATTACTTGTACCCTTACACCGCTTTGTTTTGTTTTGTGTTTTTCTCTTTTTCCTTTTAAATAAAATTTAAAAAAAAAGAAAATCAAATTTTGGCAGACTTTTATTATAGTTTCACTGCAGGAAAACTAACTTTAAAATTCTAAATTTTATTGTTTGTATTCAGGTTTAAAAAAAGAGAGAATGACTTGTTCTTTACCCTCATTGATTTCATTTTCTTAACACTCCACACATTATACAGAGTTGCGTCAACAATGGAGTGACCTTGAAGGAAAATAAGGATTTAGAAGTGACAGACGCATCGGTTAAAATCACATGCTTTTAAGCTGAGACTTCTAAAGCACAGTTCACCCTGCAAAGCAGGGTAGAAATACTTTTAAACTCCTAATGCTTGTTGAAACTCGAACGTGGATGTCTAGGAGAGAGTGACTACCGTAACAGAAGAGACTACAGCTTTAGAACCCGAGTTTAAAGTAGCAGCGCCCAGCCCCATCGGCCGTTTACCAGCTGTACAGTTTTGGGCAGACTGCTGGCCTTTCCACACCCATAGATAAGGATGAAAACACGGGTAAGCGGCGGTTACCTGCCATCCTCCTCCTCTGCATCACTTCCCAACCAGCCTATGAAGCCCAAGAGCCCAGATGGGGAGGGAACCCACCACGCTCCACCTTTCTCCAATCATAACCACAAGTTTATGCCTGTGTGGGCATCATTCTGTGCAAACCTCTACTCCCAGAGTACTCTGAATATGTTCGGTAGCCCTGTCCTACCCCTCTTCTCCTCTCCAGAAGCACCCTGCAAGCCAGAGGAATCCCCACTGGCTGGTCGCCAGTGTAGCCAACACTCTGCTTTCTGGAAGCCCCTGCTCCTCAACATGGTAAACCTGAACTACTGTGCTTGGGAACAGTTTCCCCGAAACCCTCTCAAGCAGGAATCATCCATTCTCTTCCACACTTCGCCTCAGTCTTCTTCCTCTGTTCCAACCGCTAGCATTCCTCACTCATCCAGCATGCATCGGACCTCTGTGACAGGTAAGGCATGGTGGGAACAGGGGGCAGTACTCAAAACTGACAGTCTCTAAATTAGGAGTAGAAATTCAAGTGGGAAGCTGGCAACTAGATCCCTTGTACAAAACACAAAAATAATTTTATTGTTTCAACATATCTTTCAAGTGGATACATAGTAACTGTAAGTATCCAAGGGCACTAAGAAACATGTATACAATGTGTAATAATCAGTTCAGGGTAACTGGTATAACTGTCCCCGCAGACACAGCATTTCTTTGTGTTGGGATGTTTAAAAATCTTCTGAATTACCTATTTTGAAATACCCAGTTTGTAACTGCAAATTGTGCTAAGAAACATGAAAGATAAAGTAGGAAGTCGTGGTGAAAACCTTGACTTCACCTTGGACACAGTGGTCAGCTGCCTTCTAAGGCGAACCCTGCAGGACAAGCACTCAGCCAGGCTGCAACAGGCGGTGAACATTTCAGACTGAGGGGAAACGAGCCTTTCAGAAGGCTTTGCTGCCACGCCTCGAAGTAACCCACTGCACGGTCACATCCCAGATCTTGTCACCAGCAGACCTCAACATTTACACCCCAAATCATTAATCAAGACCCATGGTGACGACTTATTTTCTTTATCCATATCCTGCTCAGTAGCTTCCACTGTTAGCCAAAAGTCCAATTCACTGACCCATGTTCTCCATCGAGGACTTCTTCTTATCTACTTTGTTTCTAACGTGCCTCTGACACATACATCCAGCCCCTAGCATTTCCCTTTTCTCATCAAATCTTCACTGCAAAATTCTGATGGCTTTACATGTCCCTCCTCCCCCACTGACGGATCCAAAGCCGTGAAGACGGATAATTAGCCGTGTGGTCTACACTGGAAAATGGTACGCAGATCTCTATTAGCTCCCTCCCGCTCTAACGACTACTCAGTACCTTCTCCTCTCTCTTCAACATTTCTGCCCCACTCTAGCTCTGGCATTTCGTGACACTCTATGCCATGGCTTTTCTTCCTCTTTCTGATTATTTCTTCTTAAGATTCTTTTACCATCTCGTCTTGCGATCTAAAGCTTGGAGCTATTCGGGTCTCAGACATGGGCCATTTGCTGTCACTTCCCAGGTTACCGAATCCTTTACCATGGCTTGAAATATCATCTAAGTGCCTGTAACTCCTTAACTTCTCTCATGCCAGACTACCACTCCAGCTTGAGGACCCTCCCGATGGGAACCACTGTCACCTCCTGCTGTCATAGCTCCTCAGTGATTTCACCAACATTTCGGTCTCCACAGAGCAGTCACAGTAACCTTCTTGAGGTATAAGCAGGATGTATTATGTGCATACATCAACTCCCTGCAGGGAATATAACCATTATGTACTGTGAACATATGCAATAAAAAAATAAAAGCTGAAAAATAAAACCTTTTAACAGTTCCACAGCTCTCAGAACTAACTCCCTCAGCTCAGTTTCGGAGGCAGGCTACTGCAACAAATTACCACGAATGAGGAAGTCTGAAACAATACAAGTTTATTTGCTAAGAAATCTGGGAGCTCCGGCTTCTGGAGCCTCCCTCCTGCCCTGCGAGCCGTCAGCCCATCTCCACCCCATCTCCATGTGTGGATGCCCAGGACCTGCCCCCGTCTTCCTTGTTTCTCTTTCAAGTGTTCTTGCAACTGGACTTCGGGCCCACCTAAACATTTCAGGGTTGTCGCATCTTAAGATCTTAGTGCTGATTACAAAGCCCTTCCCTTCACACAGTCCCATCACAGGTTCCGGGGATTAGCACACAGGCACGTCTTCTGGGTATTAATCCGCCGTAATTCCCACGCGCTGCCGACCTGCCTCTGCCTTCACCAGGCTGCACTGTCTCTCTCTGGCCTTCTTTTGCTCCCTTGATGTAGCATAAACTTTCCCATACGTAGTCTTTCCCACCCTACTCTCCCTTTAGTTTTCACCCAAGTCCTTCTTTAGGGCCTTCAGTTAATCTTAACTTCTGCAGAGAATTATTCCTTGAGGCTACACATATAGGTATGTCTCCTTCCTTCAAGGTATTGGACTGTTTTCCTCTGTTCCATGAAATGGCACTTACACATGGGTTTGCAGGCTTACTTGTCAATACCGTCTCTCCCACTGGACCATAAACTCCTCACACCATCTTAGGAAGCTCACCTGCTGTGTGCACCTTTGTATGCCCGCCCAGAGCTCTGAATGACATCTGGCACATGGCAGCTTTAACTAATCAATGGATACTAAATAAATAGACTCTTTATCCTTCCTTTCTTGCACGAGATTAGATAAGTGCAAACAAATGGGTTAGAATGCTGACCAGACAACTAACTGACCATACTGCCAGCCTGAAGGAAGAAGCATCTTTCCCTGCCCTGCCTGGGAGGGTGGTAAAGCTTGACACCAAAGACAAACAAGCACCAATTCCTATTGTGAAGCTGGAAGGCCTTCTTTCCTGCAATCTTCTTTTCCTGCCATGAATAGCCACACAGTACAGGCACTCATTTTATCTTTTACAGTAATTTCTATTTTCTGTCCAAAAGGATTGACTCCGGAATCTCAAAAATCCTAGAAAAAAACTCCAGTACCTACACTAATTTCCTGCTGTACCTAATGCTAAGCTGGACAGTTCCTTCACTCATACACCTTTCTTAATTCTGCAAATCACAGAGTAACCATAATATTGTATTATTATTAAATCCCACTGACTGTCCTAAAATCTGGCAGGCAGAGGGTCAGAAACAGAAAAAATTTCTTCTAAAAAACCTGAAGTTTCCCCATTCCCTTTTTTTATTCCTGAAGTATGCTTGACAATTAAGATATAATTCACGTAACATAAAAATACACTCTTTTAAAGTAAATAATTCAGTGTTTTGCCCCAAGTTGTGCAACCGTTGTCACTAATCCCAGAACATGCCCATTACTCCCCCACCCCCGGAAAACCCACCCCTGTTCCTTAGCAATCCTTCTCTGTTCCCCTTACCTCAACCCTGGCAACTACTAAGATACTCTTTTCCAGTCTTGTTTTACATTCATGAAACAAAAACACAGAGATGAAGTCGTTTGTACAGAGTTGCAAGAGTCACTGAGAAAATGGTAAGATGTAGGTAACTTTTAGGTATAAGGATAAAGCCAAGGTGAAAGAATGTTTCCTGCAGCCCTGCACAGCCTACGCCTGCCTGAGAGACAGCTGACAGCAGAGTGCTCTGCCCAGCCCTTCTCAGGCAGCGTCTGGCCAGGGAGGGGCCCAGGAGCAGCGTGGAATCACTGACCACAAACTGACGCTGCTGCGGGGGAACAGCACTAACCAGCCTTTGGGGACTTGGGGACAATTTTTCTTCTAGCCTGGAGTTGTGTGCCCAGCTGCAGAGATCCCTGGGCATTTTCAGTCTGTTTATGAGTAGTTAATGCATGCTAACATCAGTTTAGAGTACCTACTGGCTAGGGGCACCAGAGGAGGCAAGCAATTCAGGAAACTTGATTCTTTTTTTTTTTTACTATTTTGTCTGCATTTTCAAATAAGTAAAAGTATTAAAAGCTTAATTTAACTCTGTTTTGATCACAAATGTGTGTGTACACAGGAACCATAATCCCATAGATTAAAGTCAGCAGAATCCATTTGCAAAAATAAGTAGGCACACATTTTATTTTGTATGTCTTAACCAGCATTACAAAACCATTAATGCAAGAGGAGAAACTGTTCATCACACAGAAAAAAAAATCACCTTTTAAAGAGATCAGTCTGAACTTTAACATTCTTTGTGCTCATTTAAAATATTATTAAAACAATTTAAAAAGACAAATCAAAACTAAGTATTTTATTAACTAAAACTGAGATCCTAAAATAACTACAAATATACTTAAATCTTGTCTTCTACCTAGCAAATTCTTGATTTGCTAGCATATAACACAGACAGAAGAGCCTACTCCTGGACGAGTAAACAAATTTTCTTTTACAAAAAAGTTATTTTGAGTTATAGAGATCTTTATGAATTATAAATAAAAATAACTGCTAAAAATGTTTACATAGACAATCAATCCATTCACAGAATTGATCACTAAATGACAGTGGACTTTAAAGTGGAAATTAATTGCTCATCAACTATTTCAAAAAACTATTACCGAGCAAGTAAAATTAGCTTAAAAGGTCAACTCTTAATTGTCTATAGCAAAAGAGAGCTTTGGTACCAATAAATTAGAATTAAAGAATCAAAATATATTTTGTATGCAGCATTACAGTGTAGTTTTGATATTAAATTGGAACTTGCCTGGGTACAAAAACATGAAAATCTCCTTCCTGTTACACATACTACAATAAGGAATGAATAGCCTAACCACTCTGATCGCTGACAAAAATAAGGCACCAGCCTAAAATATTTTTCCAAAAATATTACTAAGTCACACCCACCAAATTAGGACAAGAAGCAAATAACAAATTAAGTGCTTTGCTCTTAAATGCCTCATTTCCCTTTTGATAGGAGTGTCAAAGTACTAAAATAAACTTCCAATAATAGTCCCAGAATATGTTCATTTTAATCCTCCCACATGATAGGGGGCTAAAAAGAACAACAAAAATTTTTTAAAAAGCGATGTTTACAAATCAGTAAAATACAAAAATTATTTTAAAAAGGAGGCAGGGCAACAGAGAGAATGGGTTAGGAGAAGCTCATGAAAAGTCTCAATATTTATAAGTTAAATCTGGGACACATATATCACATATGGGATCCAGGCAGGTGTTTGATAAATGTTACGGCTGCTGGATAACGTACAGTAATTATCAACATACTTTCATTTTAAGAGGCAAAAGCAAAACAACTGCACAGCAATTTTAATTTTCCAAATGGTCACCTTAAGCAATTTGCTCAAATTTAGATTTTGCGAACTTCCTACTCTCCAATTCATCATGTAAATATTTAAAATAATTTACTTACGAGTACAGTGGACTGATGCTTTAATCCAGCCCAAAGTGAAATATAACTGAGTTTAGTTTAGTAACAGATGCAGCCTGTGGTCTCTGGATATTTAACATTGGTATGAAACTAGTAAAAGATACTTTAATAAAAATATATATATTTATCTCTCAAGTAATTCAGTTTGGAAAAAGTTTATATTCTTAGTCAAAAATTACTTTTAGAGTTTGAATTTTTAAAAACAAAATTGGCTCAACAATTGTCAAAATTATATAGCTGATTACAAGAAGTAACTACAGTTTTATACCCACAGAAATATACCAGTTCAGGTGAGCTCAGCTCACTTTAAAAAAATTTTTTTTTTCTTTTCCAGTGTTGGGGATCAAACTCAGGGCCTCATGCCTTCAAGCACAGTGTTCTTCTATCACTGAGCTACCCGCTCAGCCCTCACTTAATATTTAAAATCATTTCCTTTTTCCAGCTTTACAAATGAACTGAATGTTGCTCAACTGTTCAACATTACCTATGTTAAAGTGAAGGGATTAAAAATGTTGTAGCACTTATAAAGTAACTGAATCTAATAAAGGGAGAATATACAATCAACATTGCAAAGCTGGAAGGGATCGTTAAGATCTGACCCAGCGCCCACAGACCAGGAAACCCAGGCCCACGTATGTTCAATGACTTGATCAAAGTCACATTGCCTGGGTGAGCCAGTCCTACATCCATCAGTCAGCCATCTATCTACTGAAAGCGCATAAGTGCCAGGTTAGGTACTGAAAACGGGCTACAAAGCAGTACTCACAATGGCCAAGGCAGTCTTGTTTCCATGTGATCTTGCAAAGCCCCTCGATGTCCAAACCTGTGCAAGTTCACAGGAGAGTGCCATAGCCTTGGTAGAACTGGGCTCACTTTGTTTCACACATTTTAGTAAACACAGTTGGGTTTCACTTCAGAGAGGCCTCAACTGTGTTTACTTTACATGATTAAGCATTCACAAAAGGAGGCACAGTATTGTGAAGGATTTCTTTCTCATACATTCATAACTTAAGGAAGTGCAATCAGAAAATGCCCTATAATAAACAAGTTCATGGAACAGCTTTTAAAAATCAGGGCTGTTCGAGGTATCGATACATACAGATCAGTTAAGTCTGATGACTTAAGGGTACAAGTGTGGAATGTAAATCTCTCTCCATCTCATTCAGTCACAGGTAGTTTTTTTGAGATTTCTACATTAAAAAGACTTTCAGCCTCACATTCAAAGTAATACTCTCTTCCAATCCCACCACATATCTATTTATGGATAGATCCAAACCCGCCCTTTCCCTCCTTAAGATCAACCTCCTTTGACTTCTATTTGATTAGGGAAAAATCAGTTTAACAAATAAACAAACCCTAGGATTTAGGTCCCACCTTAAAAGAAATCCAAATGCTAAGTAACCATAATAGCCATAGCTACAAACGCACGTTCATTTACTTGGACTTTCACATTCTTTAATAGCAAGTCTGACACTTGAGTGTTTTGTGCATCTGAATTCACAGTCAGCTATTTTCTAAGAAGAGACACACTGGCAAAGCTCTCAAACGAAAGGAGCCATAGGAAAGGCACTTTGAATTACTGAACAGCAGCACTCCGTGCACCCCCGTTTTAGGGTAACATTCCAAAATGAACCTCAGCTCTCTGGTGCTCTTGCAGTTGGGTGACTGCTGACAAACCACTGTCTTTACTGAGGCTCTGACTTTCCTGATGCTCTCCTTAGCTCCAGATAAAAGTGGCCTTGGGCCCCTGCTATTTCTCAAACCTCCAGATCTGATTTTTATCTAGGGCATCACAAGTTCTCATCTGCACGTCAGGTCGGCCCTCAGGTGTCCGATAAGCACTAAGGCAAAGTCCTGAATGTGGATGGAAGATGGTCCCATCATCTTTAAAATGCCAAATGATGTTTACTGGGGCAGGAGACCCATCTTTAGGACAGTTCTGCATCCCTACGTAATTTTTTTGCTCAGGAACCTCCGCACACAGCTCAGTCACGGAATTAAACCGTATTTCTTTGTTTGAAGTGTATTCAAAGAACTGATTGCCTCCTTGACCGTGGCATCCAAACAGTGAAAGGTTAGCCCCTGTGGGGTTGCTGTCAGGTGAATTATAATCTAAACATTCAGAAGAGATCCCCAAACTGCGAATAGCCCCGTGCCAGCCTGGTCTATCCTCTGGGACGTGTAAATTAGAAAACACATTTTTCAAATACCAGTCGAAGCTTTTGCATTTTAGCCGTTCTCGTAATAATTTTCTTTCAGAAATATCACCGTAAGCTTCTTTCCGTGCTGGAGGGTTTCGATTGTAGAAATGCTCTTTGTATTCATCCATCCACACCTCTGCTGCCCGAGCAGTATTCTGTAGGAAATTGGGGCGAGCATAGGGCGCCCGCTTAGGGAACACATGGCCCACGTGAGAACACGGGTGGATCTCCAATTTGCCACCGCACTGCCACACCCTAAAAGACAGCTCGAGGTTTTCACCTCCCCACACTTCCATGCCCGTGTCGTAGGTCCCCAGGTACTCAAAGTATTTCTTGCTGACGGCGAACAGCCCTCCGGCCATAGTGGGCGACCTGATGGGGTCAATCCTTGAGGTCCGCCTCTCCCTTTCATGTTTGGGAACAGAATGCCACTGGAACGTTAACCGCCAGTCAAACCCCCCAATCATAGGCTCCCCTGTCTGCATGTAGAACTCAAAAGTATTCCAATCAATGGTGTCTATCACAGGACAAACGACTGTTGTCTCATCCCCGCCAATCCTTTCCAGGAGTGGTTCCAGCCAGCCGGAGTTACACTCACAGTGACAATCCAGGAAGGTGAGGACATCGCCAGTGGCAAAAGTGGCTCCGATTAGGCGGGCCCGGACCAGGCCCTCTCGCTTATTGGTTCTGATCAAGCGGACTCGATCCAGATTGCTGATGTAAGTTTCCAGTTGTGTCTTCAGATACACTCTGTCGCTCAAATCATCCACCAAGATGATCTCCTTCAACAGGACGGCGGGGGAAGTCTCCAGAACGCTGTGAATGGTGCGCAGCAAGGTGGACCAGGCTTCGTTGTAGAAGGCGATGATGACGGAGGTGGTGGGAAGCCTCCTGTAGTCGTACTTCTTGAATTTACACTCATACATTCTTTTGTCCTCTATGTGGCGGTGCAGGGAAATCCTGTCACTGAGGTAGATGTTGATGGCATACCTCTCGATGAGTTCCTCTTGCTGCTTCAGCTCCCCCTCGCCGAGCTGGAGTTTGCTCGCTCGCCCCCACTCGCCCAGCGCGTGGGTATCGGCTGGGGGCTTCTCGTAGAGCGGTCGGGACAAATCCTCTGAAATTTTCTGAAGGTTGGCGAGGCTCCTGGAGCCCCGCTCCTGAGCGCGGCCGTCCTCCGGGGCGCCCTGGAAGGCGGATACCGAGATCTCCACCAGCACGTACGCCGCGGAGAGCAGCGCCAGCAGCGCGCAGCTCCGGCCCGCCCAGGTCCACCTCGCGGCCGTGCGGACCCTCATGGCGCCCCGGGCCGCGCAGCTCCGCTCTGCCCACTTCCTCTCCCGCTCCGGCAACTTTTCCCCAACTCCGCGCCCCGCCCCGTCCGCCCTGCGCTCCCGAGGCGTCGGCCGCCCGACCGCTAGGGGGCGCCGCCACGACCGAGGACGCGGTGCGCGGCCGGGCGAGCGCGTCACGCCGCGGGGAGAAGGCGCGGGACTCACCTAGGTGCCGGCCGTGCGGGCTGAAGTCCACGGCGGTGACGGCGGCCTTGTGGCCTCTGAAGCAGCGCTCCAGGGCGGGGTCCTCCTGCGGGGAGAGCGGTCAGGGTCGCGGGCGGCCCCGGCCTGGCCCGGCCCAGTCCCCAGCCCGTCCGGGCCCGCCCAGCGCGGCGCCCTGGAAACCGCCCCGTCCCGGGCGACTCCGACGCGGGCGCCCCACCGAACCGCGGGAGATCCGGGACCCGGCCCGGTCCTGTGCAGCCCAGGAGCCGAGCGCCGAGGCTAAGTGAGGCGGCGCCAGGTCTCTCCCAGCGCCCGCACGCCCCGACCCGGCCCCGCGGGAGCCGCAAGGCAGGGCTCCGCCAGCGCGTCCTCACCCGGGCGGAGGCCATGCAGGAGCGGGGCCGTCGGGGAAGGGAACGGGAAGGGGAAGGGCAGGGAAGGGGGGGACCGTGCGGCGCCCGGAACCGTCCGCCCGGAGCCGTGGCACCTGCCGGTCTCTACAACAACGGCGGGCCAGTCAAACCCCGCGCTCCAAGGCGTGGCCAGCCGAGTTCCGAGAAGCCGTCTGCGCGCGCCGAGCTGGGGGGATGCAGAGGGGTACCTGGCCTGTGCCCGCAGACTGGCGGGAACCTCCGAGCCAGGGGTCGGAACACACCATAGCAATGTTTCCTGACGCTAAGGTTCCCTTCTTCGTCACTCCAGAAAGGGCAGTAAGCAGGTCAGTCGGGTGTTGTGAGCCTGCGATGGATGCCATCGGAGTTCTGCTACACGTTAAAGAGACCGCGCCCACATGTGTCAGGCGAACTGGCGGCGAACCTGCGGCACGGGTGCCGCAGCAGGCTGTTTGAAAGTTCTAAGAGGTTCGCCAGCGCTGGAACCTTTGTTGAGATTGAGGAAGGAGCTTTAGTCTAAAAGAGAAAGCTTATAATCAAAGGAACTAATCTCTGTAAGACAGATTTGAATGTTTGGAGCCCTAGTTTCCCATAGTCTGCCCTCGAGGGATGTAGTTACAGACGCTGGATGCGCGGGATGAATGAATATGATACCCATTGTGCGTGTATTTCAGGTTTTTCTTCTGTGGGTTCCTACTCAGAAGTATGTTTTTAAGTTTCTGGGCCACATAGTAACTATTTTTGCTGTGGGCTTCCTTACACATAGTATCATTTGCGCTTTAGCAACAGTGACATTGGTAGAGTTACAAAATGTTATCCGTGTTCACAAATTATAAACTTCGTTCTTAGATATAATCTTAGCCGCTAGACTGATGTAACTCTTCCAAGTCTGTATCCTTTTTTTTTTTTTTTAACGCTGCCTCAAAGTATGAAGGAAGCATGTGTCCTTCATTCTTTGAGGCAGAGTTGAAAAATTATATGAAGATTCCTTGTAGTGGGGCATGGTGACGTGCTGGCAGGGAGATTGTCGTGAGTTTAAGGCCAATTTGAGCTCTGTAGTGAGTTCAAAGCTAGCCTGAACTACATAGCAAAACCCTGTCTCAGAAGAAAAAACAGTTGCTGATAGCAATATGGCATGGTAGATCGCTGTCACGGTTTGTGTCTAGATGTCTCCCCAAGCTCCAGGAAGTCATGGGAGTGGGCTTCTAGAATTTGTGATTGATTCTTGGGTGTGAGTGCTACACCAGGCCTGGGATGGGTAACGGGCACACAATATAAGGGAGGAAAAGAGCTGGTACTTCCTTCTTTGCTCTTATTGTGTTTGCTTTTTCCAACCCGGTGAACTGTTACCCTGTGCCTTGTTCCACTCCACCTTAGAGCTAGCCGAGTATGGACTGAAACTTCCAAAAACTGTGAGCTACATAAACTTTTCCCTGTTTAATTTTGGGTCCTGAGTATTTTGTCTCAGCAACCAGAAAAAAGTAACTAGCACAACTGCATCTAGTAGGACACATGTTCTAGGCAAATAAAAGATATATATATGCTGTAATTACAGGTTCCCTGCCTAATTTACAGCCACTGAGTTCAGTTTTAATGACTGCTATACAGAACAATTAAAAGGTAAAAAGTGGCTTTAGATTGCAATGCAGTATTTAATTAAAGCACATTTGTTAAATATTTTCTGCATGTCTGGCCCCGAGGGATACAAAGATAACTGAAGTATTTCTCTGCCCTCTAGAAGTCAGCGATCTGGTTTGATGAGTCTGAGTCTCACGTCAGTACATGCAGTGCTGATACAGGGGCCTAATTCTCAGAGCTGATTCAACACACAGGGATTTAGGCTCCTGCAGCCATGAGAAGGTCCTTAAATGATTGCTATGGGAGTCGTGGCTCTGTGTGTTAAGAAGTATTGCTCTAATCTGTGATTAGAGGTGATGTGTTAAGAGCATTCTCAGGACAAGGGAATGTAGCTCAGTGATAGGGCACCCACTTAGCATGCCCAGGCCCTGGGCTGCATCCCCTCTACCAAAAATAAAGCGAATACCTGCAACTTGTCACCAAACTGTACCAGGATGCTGAGCTACTTATTCCTGGTCTGGGTATCTTTTTTTCCTAAGGTCTGGCTTGCTTAAAAAATAATGCTGAAATCTAGTGGGAATATAAATGGGGTAGCACTGTGGAAAACCATTTGACAGTTCCTCTAAATTTTAAGTACAGAATTACTTGTGATCTAGCCATTCCACCTCCAGGTGCAGCCACACATATTGAAAGCAGGAACTCAATTGGATCTTTGGACACTAACATCTATAGCCCTGTTATATAGTGAAGAGAGTCAAACAATCAACTATCCAACAGACGAATGGGCAAACTAACCATTACATACATAAAAGGAATTATTCTGTCCTAAAAGAGTGAAATTCTGATATGTGCTAGCACATAGGTGAAGCTTGAAGAGGTGTTCAGCTTACGCCACACATAAAGGGACACAGTTTGCATGATTCTGTTTGTTTAAGGTTCCTAGAATAGGTGGCTTCATAGAGACAAAACAGAGTAGACATTACTAGGGATGGGGAGAATGGAGAATTTCTGTTTACTGAGTTTCTATTTGAGATGATGGATCTTTAGAAATGGATACATTTTGAATGTATTTAATGCCAGTAAATTGTACAGTTAAAATCATTAAGTGGCAAATTTTATTTCATGTATGTTCTGTCACAATAAAAAGTACAGTAACGTCGGACACTGAGGAAGAATCATTAAGAACTCAGATCTCTCATGCCATGAGGTGTGTAAGAGTGGAAACTTAACTGCAAGTTAAGAGGAAAAGGAAGAAAAAGATGTAGAAACTACGTCAAAGGAAAATTTAAGTTTAGATTTTTTGAGTTTTAAAAAGTTTTACTCCCCTCACCCCAGGATTGAAAAACACATCTTTAAAGATAGTCAAGCCAGGAAGACAAGAGGCAGAGCAGCTTATAAAGGAACAGGGCTGTGTGTGAGACTCCTGTCACCTGTAGATACGAAACAACTATTCATCAAGTCCTTGCTGTGTTGCATATCAGCTTCCACAGTAATGCTGTGTAACAAGCAGCCCTAAGATCTCACTGGTATAGTACAATAAACAGTTCAGAGAGGAAGGGGAAGGGAGAGAGGAAATAAAAGAAGAAGAGATGGAAACCAACCCCCACCTTGCATTTTTAGTTCAGCAGATGAGGGGAAATTACCAATTGTATCACCACCTAAGATGTCATATACCCACGATGTGTTCACAGCATGCTGGGTCCCTTACACAGTTTGACATCTAATACTCATAGTAATCTTATTAGAAAGGTGCTGCGATTACTGTTTCCATGTACAGCTGAGAAAGTTGATGTGTAGGCATTCGGTTACTTGTCCAGGGGACACAGATACAAGTGGCAGAGTTGAAATCCTATCAGCTCTCCACCCCAGAATCTGCCCTTCATTGCGGAGTCACCAAAGCGTTCTTTAGTTTTCAAAACTAAAAATATCTCCATTCCTTTCATTCCACAGCCCTCATTAGTTACTCAGAAGTACGCCTCTTCCAGTTCTTTGCACTGATTTTGTTCTTCACCTGCACAGACAGCAACAGCTCTGCAGCGAATGCTTAGAAACCTGGCCACAAGTGCGGAAACAACTTCCCAACATCAAACCCACTTGAGTTCCTGCAATCCCATTTACTTCTGTGGTTATTTTTGTTTCCTCAGAGCGCAAACTTATTAATGTGGACATAGCCACAGCTGGGATCAATGTTTGGAAACTTGCAGGCATCTTGGGAAGCCACCTATGAGGGGGAATACAGGGACCTTCCACCAGTCCTTTCCAAGGCTCCCTCAAACTGGAAATTAAATTTCTCCACCTGAGCCCCTCTGTAGTTTTTAGTTCTGAGGGTGACAATTTATCTTCAAATCTGGAAATTCAGACTTAGCCCAGAAGTGCCACCTGCTGTCCATGTCGCTGCATGGCATGTGGATGGTACGCTGCAGCCTGCTCACAGGCAGTGGGGGGGGGGGGGGGGCTCCACTTAATATCCAGCAGCTGCCCCAAATACAGGCGAGCACTCAGAAAGGAAGAGCACAAAACTGACAGATCACTGACACATTAAAATGTCTGAAGACTAAGAGTGATTTAATTCAACACTCATTCAACTCCTATCAACTACATCCTCATCCTCCTGGTACATTTTATTTTTAATCTATTTTTCTCCCCACGTGCTTTCTGCCGCTCTTCAGGCGTCCCTTCTGTCTCCCAGAGTATTTTTGTCATCCTTAATTGCTTTCTGACTTTGAGACTCTCCCTGCCTGACTACCCTGCTTAGTGTCAGCCAAAGACATAAAAATCATCAGGAGAGCCTGCTAAAAGAGCAGATCCTTGGGCGTCTTCCCACAGGTCTTTATTTAGAAAGTCTAGTGCAGATACTAGAAATCTGTCTGTTTTAAATAAGCTTTCTAGATGATTACCAGATGCATCAATATCTGTGAACCACTGGGCATCTTATGCCACAGATCTTGAAAATGCTTTTAAAGTACACTTTTTAAAAAATGTCTCAGACTGAGCCCTATTTTATGGTCAAACCACACATCTCCCCTGGACCAGTCCTCAAGACATCTCAGTTAGTTATCCACATCCAACACTGTCTCCTCTTCTCACTTCTGGGACAAAATACCCAACACCTACAACCTGAAGGAGGAGAGGTTATTTTTGGCTCATGGTTTGTAAAGATTTCAATTGATCATTGGCCGGCTTCAAGGCAGGAAGGGCCCAGCAGAGGAAGGCAGCCCACATCATGGTAGCCAGGAAACAGAGAAGGGAGGCACCAGGGAGGGAGACCAGGTGCTGCTGTCACAGCACACGTGGCTGGGGAGCCACCAGCAGGTGCATCAGCTGCCAGGTGACCGGCTTATGATCCAGGCAGCTTCCAAAGCCTCATCTCTGAGCATGTGACTTGTCAGAGACACCTAAGCACACATTTTGGAGCTTTTTTGTGATTGCCTCTTCTTGCCACGACTTTTATCCAGAGAATCCTACCTCAGGACCCAGAAGGACACGTTTATGTGAAAATACCTGTGAACTCACAGACCCTTACAATAACATAACTAATTTCTTTGGGCTCCCATAATGTGTTGCTTGGGCTTCTACTTGGCTATATTTTAGAACACTTCATTACATCTGTTATGTTTATGTGTCTACCAGCCCTTGTTGTAAGGAGAGGTTGATAAAGACAAGAACTAAGTTGAATTCAGTTTAGTATCATTCTGCAGCACCACAATCCCTGACTAATACATGCTCTGTGTTTCTTGAGGACCTACAGTGTGACCAGCCAACTTTGTATTCAGTGAAAAGATCCACAAGAGAAATAGAAAACATGAGCATTCTCAAATAGTTTAAAATGTAATTGAGTCTTGAGATGAATCACATGAAATAGTGAAAGAGTCACTGTAAAACATAAAGTATGTAAAGCAGAAAGTCCCTAGTAACCGCAGAAATGATCCAGATATCTGCATAGTAACCATACTGTCGTGTTTCTGTAGTGTCAGATATAACTAAGCTACTCTACTGGGCTTTGGAGGTGTTCACAGAAGGATTTCATAGAAGGTATTTGATTATGATTTTTTTTACTGGTCCCAGGGATCAAACTCACTACTGCCTGCTTGCAAGGCAGGCGCTTATGCTGCTGAGCTAAATCCCCAGCCCCTATGATTATGATTTTTTGAAGTGCTGGATCTTATGCATGCTAGGCATGAGCTACAACCCCAACCCTAGATTGTGTGTGTGTGTGTGTGTGTGTGTGTGTGTAATAAAAAAAAAGGTAGCATTAGTGGTTACCGGGGACTAGAGAAAAAAGAAAGGAAGGAAGGAAAGAAGGAAGGAGTGATTACTAATGAAAAAGGGCTCATTCGGGGGGTGGTGAAATGTTTCAGAATTAGAGTTAGTGTTAGTGATAATGTTACAGTCTGGTGAATGCACTAGATACAACCGAGGTAGTGGGTTTCAGATTCTCTTGAAGGACGCGTCAGAGTGCATCCCAGAGTTTCTGCTTCAGAAGGTCTGGAATGGTTCCAATGATTTGTCCCTAGTAGTGACGGGCATTCTCCTGGTGACCCAAGAGCACAGAATGGCGTTTGCCAGGGGCCTGAGGGAGAGGGAAAGAATTAGCATTCAATGCATACTGAGCTTCAGCTTGTCAAGAGGAAACGGTTCTGTGTCTGGGTGGGAGTGATGGTGGGAACAGTGCAGATGTATTTTGTGTTTCTGTCCTCACAAAAATGGGTACATGGTAAATATTGTGTAATGTATACTTTACTGTCATTAAAAAGTAGGGAGAGGTATGGAAAGGGAAAAATAATCCATGACTAAAGGTGTTACTCATGGCGTACACTTCTGAATCACAGAGGCTCCTATGGAAACGAAGGACTCTGGGTTTTTAGAGCTGTGATAGTAGGGATATAATGAGAGAGAGATATTTGTGCAGATGTGAAAAAACTAAAATAAAGGCCCAGAAAGACTGATGCTGTTGTTGGCACAGAACCAACAGTACCTGCTGGCAGATGACTGTCCTACCTACGCTGAGAAGCAGGAAACTCATTTCTAAGGTCTATGCTGTAGTTTAGTCTTTAATCATTTTTTAAAAAAAGCTGAAAGAGAAACTGAGAAAATAAGGGGAAAACTCTCCCCTCAAAATACATATATGCTAGTCAAGATAGTGATGCCACTGATTTCTCTTAATTCATTGAAAATAAAGGTTTGTGCTAATATTGTTTGGACAATTAGGTGCCAACTCTGAGTAACTAATTTAAAGAGGACAATACACAATGTTTTTTTAAAATTTTATTTAAAAGGAAAGAAAAAACAAAACAAAGCAAAACAGTATAAGGGTGCAAGTAATACAGAATTACAAAAAAAAACAGTAAGAAATCCCCATTTAATAGATTATACATTATCATCTTAGAGATAGTTGTTCAAGTCACAGGATTAAAGCATACAAAGTGGACATTCAAACAGTGAGACTGCAAACAGTTGAATACACAATGTTTTAATCATTATTACTCTCCTATTTTGTTTTGAAATTTTGGATTTTTTTTTCTCTTTAAAGACTTCAAGCCAGGAATGGTGGCTCGTGTCTGTAATCCCAGCACTCAGGAGGCTGAGGCAAGAGAATTGCTGTGAGTTCGAGGCCACCCTGCACTACAAGTGAGTTTAAAGCCAGCCTGAACTGTGTAGCGAGACCCTGTCCCCAAAAAAGATGTTTAAAAAAATAAAATAAAATAAACATCAAAAAAAGCGGTCATTTTTTCTGTCTCAGCAAAAGTAAGATTCTGATAACGATTCAGTGTACCTGGCCAGTTCCGTGGACTTGGACGATCAAGTAAGTTTCTTTTTTTTTTTTTTTTTTTAAACCATACAACCTTTTTATTGTTAAGTCATAAAGAGGTATCAAAATTAAACAGCAAAAATTACAGGATAAGACTTAACAAAACTACTAGGAGCATCAAAAGAAGTGAAAATGGTACTAGGCGCAGGGCAATCATGAACATGGGAAGGATAAAGATTGGAAGAACAGTGAGTGTGTGCTGAAGATACTAGGGGAGAAGATCTGGTGAAATTCTGATCTTAGACAAGCGCCTAGGTAAAGAAATAATGGGACAAGATTTCTAAACCCCACTATGTGCTTAAGAGTCATCCTCGCCATTGGCGATGTCTCTGTCATCCTCTCCTTCCTCAGCCTCTTTTTCATCATCCTTGATCAACTCCAGCTGGTCATCTGCCCGATCTTCATTTTCATCATCATCCAGTAGATCCCCCTCCTCAGCAGAGTCATCAGCAGCACCTTCAGACTCCATCTTCACATTAGTCTCATCTTTCTTCAGGGAGGTGCTGGTCTGCTCCTCTTCGGACTTATCATTCTTCATCTCAACTGCTTGTTTGCTCTGTTCCTTTTCTATTTTCTCCAGGCTTTCCAGTAAAGAATCCACTTTTTGTTTTATCTGGGTCAGCTCCTTCTTAATGGCCTGAAGATCATCTCCTTTCAACTTTCCAGACTTGGAAGAAGATCCCCGCTGGCCACTCTTAGAATTGAAGCCACTTTTGCCCCTTCGTGAGGTGTTTCCTGATACACGCTGGCGTTTTGAGGGCACTACAGCCCGAGCAATAGGAGGCGGTGGTGGAACACGTGCTGGGTAACTGTACATCCTGTCATAATAATCACGTTGAAAGTCACAGTCCAAATCAAAAGAGGAGCTGAGTAGAGGGGACGGAGAAGGGTGTTCTGGTACTGACCCGTACATCTCCGCTGCAGATCGTTTCACACCTGCTTTTCCTCTGTCCACTTTTGGCTCTGCAGCCGGATTAATATCTAAAACCTGGCCAGCAATCATTCTGCCATCCTTTCCAGCTACAGCAGCCCGGGCATTTCTCTCATTAACATACTGGACGAAGGCAAAGCCCTTATGAACAGAGCAACCCACAATTTTGCCATACTTCGAGAAGATCGCCTCCACATCAGACTTCTTTACCACAAGAGTGTTGAGATTCCCAATGAACACACGGGAGTTCATGGAGCGAGGATCTGTCTTGTTTGTAACATTGCTAGCCATTGTATTTGAAGATAAGGTTGCTAACAGTGACAGAAACCAGGAGAGGGGCAAGAGAAGAGATTCGATTCCGAATCTCCTACTCCCAGGTTCTACGTGCAGAAGTCGGCTGCTGCTCGAGGTCGGAAACGCGGACGCAACCACTCGGTCTCCGTCTCTTCACAAAATCGTAAGTTTCCACTTACAGCATTTTCTGCCTTTCTCGCTTAGTGATCCTGCCTCCCTCCCTTTCCACGTGAGTCATGTCTTTATCTACGGCAGGTCCCTGATGTGAAGGAACACTGGGACTTTCCACGTGACTGCACGAAAGACACGGGTGAAGCTGGCAGGTCTTGGCTGCAGGTTCCCGCTCCTCAGAGAGACCCCAGGCCGGCCGGTGTCCTGTGGCTCCCCCTCTCCACCAGCCCCCTGCCTCTGGCTTGCCTGTTCTTCACAGTTTTTCCCTGACACTTCCTTCCCATCTCTTCGAGTTCTTTATCCTCTTATTTTCTTGCATATTACCCTGCCTTTTATTTTGTCCTTTCCCAACTAAAAAGTGAGTCAATTGTTCGAATCAATATTTCACCCAGGATGCACCTATGAATGGCCAATGGGGAAATTCAAATCAAAACCATCACAAGAGGCTGCTTCACACCCACTCCCGTAGCTGTCCACAGAAGGAAGGATGATCAATAACAAGTGTTGGGGTGGCACAGAGAAGCTGAAGTCCTCTAAGTTGTTGATGAGATGTAGAATGGTACAGCTACTTTAGAGCTTAGGCGTGCAGATGTGGGGATTTTATGGTAATTACATGCTTAGCATTTTGGAGAACAGTTTGAAAGTTCACATACACGTTTTCTTCAGCCATTACAATGTTCAAACATTTTAAAAGAAATAGCGTCACCATATAAAGCAACTCCACTCCTAGGTATAAGATGTTCCACTTGGCCCAGTTACTCTTGGTAATTGAATACATGTGTCCACAGCAAAACACAGGCACAGATGTTCATAGTATCAACACAGTAGCCAAAAAAAAGAAAAAAGGAAACAACCTAATGTTGATGAGGTGATTAATGCGTAAACAAATATGATGCATCTGTACAGTGGAAAATTATCTAAAAATACAAAAGTGGAAAATCCTGATTCGTGCTGTGATATAGATGAAACTTGGAAACAGTAAGTGAAGGAGCTGGACATTATGTGTGATTTCAACCCAGTGAGCAGCCCAGAATAGGAAATTCATAGAGGCAAAGTGGAATAGGGTTCTCCAAGCTGGGGGGAAGAAAGGGGGGGAGTAACTACCAATGAGAAGGGGACTTCTAGTTAGGTGATTGAAATATTCTGAGACTCAATCATGGTGATAATTTTAGAGCTTGAGGCACTAAAAAACCATTCATTGTAATAAAGTAAGATTTTGTTTATTGTCTTTCTGAGAGAGGGTCTCGCCATGCAATTCAGGCTGGCCTCGAACTCACTTTGTATCCCCGCCTGGCCTCAAATTTGCAGCAATCTTCCTACCTCAGCCTCCTGAGTGCTGGGATTACAGGCATGTGTCTGTAATGCATACTCACAGCAAGATTTTTTTCTTTGAACACACACAGCCACTTATCTCTCCCCAGAACATAAACTCCTGCCTCTAGTGTGGATCCGAAGATGTCCCCTGAAGGCCCGTGTGCTAAGGGCAAGGCCCACAGATCCACAGCACTAGTGGAAGTGAAGGAAGCTTTAAGAGGGTGGGCCTAGTGGGACATCTTCAGGCACTGGGGCAGGGGTGCCTCGGAGGGACTGTGGGGCTCTCCCCTCCTCTCTCTTGTTCTAGGCCCCGAGATGAGCTGATTGCTCCATCACACATCCCTGCGATAATATGCTGCCTTGTCAGAGGCCCAGAAGCAGCAGGAACCATTAGTCACAGACCAGGACCCTTACAACTGTCAGCCACACTAAACCTGTCTTCTTTATAAGTGGATTATTTCAACTACTTGTTATAGTATCAGAGAGATGACTGTCTCAGTCACCTTCCTCATTCACTGGGACAAAACACCTGACTCCCGCAATCTAAGGGACAGAGAAAGGTCTATTTTGCCTCTGTTTGGCCCACAGTCTGCAGACTCCAATACAGAAATGGCACCATGTAAGGGTGGAGGATGCTGCTCCCATCATGGCGGCCAGAAAGTAGCCGCCATGAAGAGAGAAGCTTGGGAAAGGAGACAAACCCTTCCTGGCCATCCCTCAGTGAGTGACCTGCCTCTTCTGACCAGCCCATACCCCTCCTCTTTAACAGCAGGTCAGTATCATGACCCCATGGTTCAGCCAGGAGAGGACCCTCAAGAAGAAGGGGAGGACCAGGACTCAAGACAACAGCAGCCATCCCCAGGGAAGGTGGAGGCAGAAGCTCCACAGACCACAGCCGAAGCTTCTCTGGAGAAAGACAGCCCGAAAGAAAACCCACAGCAAGCAGGCCCTTCCAGGGGAAATCAGCAGGAACTCCTCCCCTCCTGTTCTCCCTTACTACACTTCTACATCAATCTTTCCTAAATGGGTCTTCCACACCCAAACCAGATGATTTAACTTAGCTGGGTGTTGCCACAGAAGCTGACAATTAGTCGGTTAACCACCACAGCACCCCAACTTCTCGAATTCAGATGAGAAACCTGTAAACCTTCATTCTTTATGAATTACTCAGTGTGTGGTGACTGCTAACAACACCAAAAGCAGACTAAGACATCCACTAGATGCTAGAACAATGTCTGGTGTATAGTAGGTACCCAAAACAGATTTATAACTTAATGAAACAAAGAGGAAGAAATCCTATTGTTTAAAAAGATTTGGAAGAATGTTTGGTTGGTTGGTTGGTTGGTTAGTTGGTTTGGTTTCTTAATTCAGTTTGAGCAACATAGTATAATAGAGTTGTGATTTTAGTAAAAGAAAACTAGATTCCTTTAAAGGTTATTTCTTCTAGATAAGAAGAAAAGTCCTCAGAGCCTTCCTGGAACCAGCCAACCCACTTCCTCCCTTTCTCACGATGTTATGTTGCAGTGTCTGGACGGCGACTCTCCGAGAAGCCGTCCTCTGTGGCTCTGCACTCTGCCATCCTTCTGGGAGTTCCAAGTCTAAATTCTTTCTAACGTAATTTAGCAATATATTTTAAATTTGGACATTCCAGGTTTCCTCCTAATTATAAAAATTGCTGTAGTTAATGCCATATAGCAGGACAATTTTTATTGTATGCATATCTTTGGGGAAAAAAAGACCTCCCAAAACTTTTATTTTATTCTATAACCATAGGCACTTAGCGGTAGCCCACAGACATGATTTTTTTTTTTTTTTTTTTGGCCACTTAAGTGTTCAAACCTTAAAAGGTATTTAAACGAAGATGACACAAGTTTTCAGTTTAATCCATGTCCCTCTGGTGTTATTATACATAGCCTGTTTCACAAATTTCAATCATTTTTCAGGCTCTTCATGTTAGTCATGAAGGTCTAAGTATGCTGCTGTAACAATCAAGCCCCCGATTTCAGTGGCTTACAGCAAGAAAGTGTGTTTCTCGTGCACACTGCACCTCTATCAGGAGTCAGCAGGGATTCAGCTTCTGTGTCTGTCTCTTCCACTCTCCAGGAAATAGGAGATCAGGGAAGACAGTAGCAGGAGCAGGATCATTTTGGAGCCTGGAGTAGATGGTGCCCCTGGAGGCTTAGTAAGCTTTTGTTGATGGATGAAAGTCTCACGTCTGGTAGAGAAGTGTAACTCTCCTAAGGGAAAATAGTGAAAAGTTATCTAGTCTAGCTCAGGTTTGGAGAAATTTATTAAATGTAAAAAGTGCATTTTATTAAGTTGACAATATCAATACTTTTCTCATAAGAAAATTTAGAAATGGGAATGTCAGTTTCTCATCATTTTTGAACCCAAATTTCCTGAAGATTAATAACACTCAAACTTTGATTCTCAGTTGAGAACACTCACTCTTAGATGAAGTCATGGTCTTTGTTTTATCTTGGAGGATGGGAATTGAAGGTGGCAAATAGAGGCTTCAATCTTTGGGGTTGCTTCTTTGTTTGCTTGGTTGCTTATTTATTTGTAAATAAAGGTCCCACAGGTGATTCTGGCATTCCACTGCAATGGAATGTTATGAGTGTTACGTGTTATGTGTTATGTCCTGTTCCTGTAGCTGTACAGTTTACTCTCTGAGAGTTTCACTCTTTCCCAGAATAGAGTCAGAGGAACAACCAAAGATCAAAATGAAAACACTGGGACCAAACCAAGAACCCAGCTATGTTCACTAACACACTAGGAGCATTTTCCAGATGAAGAGCAAAGGCCAGCACTGGTACCACGGCCTCTCCAGTCCAAAGAATTCAGAGTTCAATAAAGAAAAGGACCTCAGGAAAGAACAGAAGAAGCTGTTTGATGACTGGGTTAGTGAGGCATCTGCCTTGGTATCATGGAGTCAAAGTGGAAAAACCAGTTTTTACAAGGTATCTCTTAACTGAGTCAGCACAGCCCATTGCATGGTATGATACACTGGAGAATGCAGACTTTACCTTCTGGGTTGCTGTGAACTATGAAATTTAATTGGGTAACTGAAATCAGAGGAGTTTTTTGTTTGTTTTGTTTTGGTTTTGGTACCAGGGATTGAACTCATGACCTTGTACTTACTGACAAGTGCTTACACTGCTGAGCTAAATTCCCAGTCCCAAATTGATGGCTCGTAAGCAGTGACAATTCTGTATTCCCACACCAAGGGGACATTCGGCAGTGTATCACAACGGAAGCATGGGTGCTCTTAGCACCTGGCTGATAGATCAGAGATGCTGCCAGCGACACTGCAAATGGGATTGCGGCAGAGGATGAGAAACCGCCTCAAAGGAACACCCTTAGCACGAGGTCTGGCATTTGTTAAGTGCTCAATAAATGTTGGTTCACCATGAGTTGATCTCCTAATGTCCATAAAATGTTAATTAATTGGCAGTTCCCTAACCTACCGTATGTTACCAAGTTTTTCCATTATAAGACGTATTTATTACTAGCTTTTAAAAAGTTAAGAGAAAGTATAAAGCTAGAAAAAGAAACATAATTAAGCCAGATGACAAAAAGCTTTTTTTTTTTTAGGTGTAGGAGACTGAACTCAAGGCTTCATGTATGCTAGATAAATGACCTGCTACATTCAACCTCAGGACATTTTTGAATTGATATTATTCTTTTCCACTGATTACTCTTTTTCTGATATCTAAACAAATAGAAATCCAAATTATTCATCATAATTGTGTTTGGTAAAACAGATCAAAATGAAAGATTTCTCTCAAACCAACTGAAAAATAACTCTTTTAGTTTCTTGAATTGTCATGAAATGTGATTAAGTATTTTTTTCATAAGAAGCTATTATCAAATCAACCTATCAGTTGATGGACTTTTTTGCTTTTAGATTGGGTTTCATAATGATGTGATCCATGCTGGTCTTGGATTCCTGAACATAAGTCATCCTCCCGCCTCAGCTTCCCAAGTGATGGAATTACAGGCATGTGCTGCTGACATTTTAAATTCCTCAAAAAGCAGCATTCTGTGTAACTCTCCTGAGCTCCTACACTCCCATTTTCCTCGTTAGATCAGGAATTCTTTAAAGTACTGCCTGGGGATATGAAAATGTAGCCTACTCATACCTTACCTGATTTAGTATCACCAGTTACATAACCATTAATTTACTTCTCTTCTCCTGCTACTGACTAATACTGCTGTCAGATTTGCTAATCTTTGCCAGTGATGAATATTCAGAACATGAAAATCAAGGGCATTAGCTCTGCTAGAAGCCTTAGGGAGCCACCATTTCAATTCCTTCTTTTGAGAGACGGGGAACCAGAAGAGCAGGGAGGTTCACTGACTTGCCCAACTCTGTTCAGCCAGTCAGAGACAGATCTAAGCCTTCAAGTCAAGGATGCAGAATTTCAGTTCGGGGTGGTCCTCAAATAACCACAAATGGCACTGCTTTTAAATGGTGCCAGTAAAAGAGGTTGCTGCTTTTATTCATCTTGCGAACCTAGTGATATTCTCCATGAAATATAAGTTTAGCCTTTTGGATCTGTCAAGACATTCATTCCACAAATGGGCCAGGCAGTATATTAAGCATTGCACATATAAGAAATAAGGATAAGAAGTGCAGAGAACTCTTTTGTTATGCTCCAGTGCATAATGAAAACGAGTAGGAAAGTGTTCCCAGTCATAGCAGTGGCCTCCAACAATTTTGGCCATCAGGAACGTGTTTCATAGAAGACCACTTGTTACATAGACTCAGAGGGAAGAGAAGGATGATTTGGGAATGATTTGAGCACATTATGTTTATTTTATTTCTATCATTATTAAATTGTGAAATATCATGAATAATTAAGCTCAAATAAAGGTTGATTTATGACTTAAAGCCCCCCACCAGATGCAGCTATACATTGAAATACATCAACTCACTTTCCACTATAAAGTCTGACACCAGATGCAGCTTAGTGGTTGCTTTCTACTCATCGATAGTTTTGATCTGCATCTGAAACCATCTGGTTTATTATCGTCTAGATGCAGTCAAACCTTTCTGCTAATGTCAATCTGTATTTGCAGTTACTCCTCAGTGCTAGCATCACTACCCTAGCTCCACCTCACAGCATCACCCACTAGGCTCTCATAAGGAGCGTGTAGCCTTGATCCCTCTTGTGTGCAGTTCACAATAGCATCCATACTCCTATGAGAATCTAACGCCACCTCTGCCCTGACAGGAGGCAGAGCTCAGGCAGGAATGTGAGTGGTGGGAACAGCTGTAAATGCAGGTGGAACTTTGCTTTTTAGCCTGCCAACCATTTCCTGCTGTGTGGCTTGGTTCCTAACAGAGGTGTTCCAGAGGTTGGAGACTTCTTCAATATAGGATGCTGGAGCTCAACTGCATGAATTGTACTGAACATATTATACTGCTGCTACTAATAGTAATAAAATCATGGTCTTGAATTAATATTTGCTAAATTCAGCAACTCTGGCTGGGTTCAAGTTGGAAAGTATATTCTTTAAAGAGGGTGGTGGCTCTTCAATTGCAGGAACTATTATTATGAAAATACAGCCCCGGTGTTAGCTAATTATTGAAATTATTATGAGAAGCTGTAAATATGGAACTTGGTTAAGAATTCACTTAATTTTTAAAAGTTGTAAACTAATCTGGAAAAATTTTTCAACAATATGCACCTTGAGGGGAGGGATCATATCTGTGGATTGTAATCGTGCTTATGTGAGCTTCAAAATAAGACACCCATTTCTCACCCAAATGAATAAACATTTGAACCACCCAGATTGTAGTCAGGTTAGGATCAACACAGCAGCCTTGACATCAACATTGTAACAACAAAGGATCTCACTGAAGAGTACAGCCAGATTGCACTGCTGACTGGCCTGTACTGAATCTGAACTCTGCCTGCCCCCAATCCAGCCCTTCACCCTAGCAAAACAGAGGCCACCCTCCAGCCAGCAGAGCTAAGTAGATATTCCTCGTTTGGAAAGAGAGCGAGATGGTGTGTGTGTGTGGTGGGGGAATCTAAGCTCCTAGGCTTCTGTTCTCTTTATTAGATCAGGAATTTTTATATACTGCTTCAAGATATGAGAATGTAACCTATTCCTATATTACCTGATTTATTATCACCAGTTACATGATCATTAATTGACTTTTCCTCTCCTGCTACTAACTCTTCAGACAACTCTCTACTACAGAGCACAAAGGGTGTGAAGGAGCGGCCGGGATTGTGACTTGGGAAGTCTCTCCATGCGGAAGCTGAGCCAGATAATGTGCGCCCCTCCCGCCTCCAACTAGTTGGATTTGGTCCCTGAATCTATCTCCAGTTGTGCTCACTTGTCTCAGCCCCGGACTGTCAGTGTTTGTAACTTGGTAGAGGGATTGACGTGAGGCATTAGGTACACTGATGTGCACTAGCCCTTTGACGAGTAACTCAGTGAAGCACCCAGGTGTACAGCAGAGAATTCTAGCAGGACTAAAGTTGAGGTGTGAGGGAGGATTTCCCTGCCCTGCTGTCTCAATTTATGCTGAGGGCTCAAGGCAATAAGTGGTCGCCACCCCCAAAATGGGCATCTGAGATGAACAGACATTTCTCAGATGAAGAAATGCAAACAGCAAATAAATATATGGAAAAATGTTCAGCGTCACCAGTCTTTTGAGAAATGCAAATTAAAAGAACCTTGAGATTCCCTGTCACTCCAGAAAGAATGGCTATCATCAATAAGTCAATCAATAACAAAGGGTATGGAGAAAAAGAACCCTTTTGGATTGGTGGTGGGAGTCTAAATTGGTACAACAACTATAAAAAATCAGTATGGAAATTTCCTTAAAAACTAGACATTCTATTTAACTCAGCTATGCCCTTTCTAGGTATCATCCCCATAGAGTTAAGAGCATCACACTACAGTGATATTTGCATACTCATGGTTATAACAGCGCAATTTATAATGGCTAAATCTTGGAAACAGCCCGTATGTTCATCAACAGATGAGTGAACAACCACAAAATGTATTTATATATACAATGGAGTACTACTCTGCCATAAAAAGATAGATGAATCATTTTTAGGTAATGGATCCACCTTGAGACCATAATCCTAAATGAAATAAATCAGACACGCAAGTTTAAATATCACATTGTTCCTCTTGTGTGAGAAACCCAAGGGGTAAGCAAGGACCAAAACGGAAGCTAGATATTAGCAAGCAGGAAAAACGTGTTCACATGGGAAGGGGAAAAAGGGGGACGGGAGGCGGAAGGGAGGAAGAGGAAAAAGATTTCAAAGGGAGAATGGAAGGAAGACCAATGGAAACAGCTTCCAGAGCTGGGAGGGGAAGAAGGATCGAAGGCCTGGGAGAAAACAGGAAGAAAACATGAAGCTCTGTCATGCACGGGCACAAATTCCCTCTGAGGAATGTGATCACTATGTATGGCAAACATGCACTCACAGAAAGAAGTGATTAAAAGTAAACAAATAAATAGGCAATCGCTTCTCCAGTTCTAAAGGAAGACATTTTATTGCCAGCGGAAGCACAGAGAGGCCCTGTGCCTCTCCCCCACCATTTATAGCACAGAGATTTCATCCAGGAAGGGGGTAAAAGTAGCCCTTTGGGAGGGTTTGCATGGGCGGAAGAAGAAAATAATTAAAATACTTTTAAAATTGCACCCTATGAATGCTGCTTTCTTATTAACCGAAAATGTGACAGATGTTTCTAGTTGGCGCAGCTGAAATAAACCATCTCGTGTGCCTTCGCATTAGTTTCCGGCCCAATTTGACCAAGACCGCAAGTGTGTCTCTCAGTGGTCTCCTTAGTGCTGCCTTCCGTCCTGGCCTCTGTCTTCCTCTGACTGGAAGCTTTCTTGGCCACAAGGTCCTGCCGGGAGATGCAGCCCTGATCTCCCTCTGCACAGGACAGTTTCAGCCCCCACAACACCAAATAAAGACCCTTAGCTGCCTGCATGGAACTGGTGAAGAAATCCCTCTGCCCAGGCAGATGCAGTGCATGGGTTGAATTAGACCCGTACTAACCAGCCAGTCAGTGGAGGCTAATTAAACCCCTCAAGACCCTCCCTAGACACTACAGAAAAGGAGACTCCGACCCACACGCATAGCTGCTACATAATAGGATAGAAATGGGGGAAGGACGAAACGAAGTAGCAAGATCTATCCTGCACAGACTTTCTACAATGACTGTTTCACTAATGTGTATCTAAAATGTATCGATAAAATAAAGACTAGACAAAACCCAGATACATTGCATAGGTGTGGACGAGGAGGAAAAGCACCAACCGGGAATTCCGGAGGACAGGGGTGAGCGGAGGCCTTTCAGGAGGCCGAGGGGCTGGCGTGGACGAGGGCCAGGGTGCAGAGTGTGCACCTGAGCACCCTGCAGGTGGAAA